TTCTGGAAACTCATAGTAGATGCGAGCCAACGTGTAAAATATAAATATAGAGGTATAAAAGTTTCCAAGTGCCAATGGCTATAATTGGTGCAAATTTATATTTTGGTGATGTAAAATGAACTGACTTATGCGTACGAGTACATCTATGCCAATAGTAAATCTACCCCTCGCCAAAGGCGGCGGGGATTATATGGATTTCCCAAGCGACGAGTGGTGAGAGTCCACAATGACGAAAGAGCGCCGCTTTAGCCGGCATGCGCTAAGAATGGCCAATGCCGTAGCTTTACTTGATGATTAAACTGGTATCACCAAGATTTTTTGAGCTGGTTGTTGAATCCACCTTCAATTTGAACATCAAGATTGTAACCACCACCTATCAGCTATACCACTCATAATCCCCCCCATTACCCTACTGCATCTTCTTTAATTGTCCATTTTATTGCTTTTAAATGTCTGTACCAAGCACAATGCCTCCGGGCAAACCCATGCCAAATTTTGCGGCTTCAACACCACAATCATCAGTCTGGGATCGCATAACCACATGGGCTTCTGAGAACAAGGCAGTTGTATATACAATCGCTGGTGTGGCAGTAGTAGTTTCAGGCGCTGGAGTTGCATACTATTTATTAGACTCAGTAAGTTGTATCTTACCACTGGTTTTGGTAGATGCATCATCATTGCAGATGTTAATACATACATTAGAAGGACTCCACATCCACCCAAAGCGTGCCAAAGAAGTCAAAGGAAAAGAGGCGAAGGAAGAAGGAAGAAAAGAAGGAAGCCGATTTAGAAAGGGGAACCACGCCACCTGATACCAAACCTAAAACACCAGTCGAGACTATCGATGAACTTCCTGAGGTTGACGAAAACACTGTGGGAAGTCTATCGGATCAACAACGTAAAGATTATGCCGCCAAGTTGAAGGCAGCTGGTAACACCGCATATGGAGCCAAAGACTATCCTCGAGCCATCGATCTTTATGGGAAAGCCATCCTTTGCAAGCCAGATCCTATCTTCTATTCGAACCGCGCTGCATGCTACAACGCTCTCGGCGAATTCGAGAAGGTTATTGAGGATACTACTGCTGCGATCAATCTCGATAGCGGATATGTAAAGGCCTTGAACCGTAGAGCAAATGCTTATGAACATACCGAGAAATACAGTGAGGCTTTACTCGACTTTACAGCCAGCTGTATTATCGATGGTTTCCGTAACGAGCAAAGCGCACAATCTGTCGAGAGACTGCTCAAAAAGGTAGCCGAGTCGAAGGCAAAGGTCATTCTCGAGGCCAAGGATAAGAAGCTTCCAAGCCCAACATTCGTCACCAACTACCTCCAAAGTTTCCGATCAAAACCTGCGCCTGCAGGATTAGAAGATAGCGTTGAGATACCAGAGGAAACAGGAAAGGGTCAATTACAACTTGGACTTCGAGCTATGGCAAAGAAGACTAATGAAGGATATGAAGATGCTTCAGCTGCATTTGAGAAGGCCTTAGATTTGGGCGATCTCGGTGAACATGAAGCTTTTGCTTACAACATGCGTGGAACATTCAGATATCTTCGTGGCGTACAAATTGATGCTTTAAGTGATTTGAGCAAGAGTATCGAATTGTCGCCCGACTACACACAAAGTTACATCAAGCGTGCAAGCATGCATTTGGAACTTGGTTAGTATTTACAATCCATTAATTTATGATTAGCTACTAATCCAAAAATCAGGTGACAAGGACGCCGCTGCTGCAGATTTCGATAAAGCTATGGAACAACATGACGATGACCCTGATATCTACTACCACCGTGCTCAACTCAACTTCATCCTCGGAGAACTTTCACAAGCCGCAAAGGACTACCAAAAGTCTATTGATCTTGACCGGGACTTCATCTTCTCGCACATTCAACTCGGTGTTACACAATACAAGATGGGCTCAACCGCATCATCTATGGGAACATTCCGACGCACAATCAAGGCATTCGAAGATGTACCTGATGCATACAACTACTACGGAGAGCTTTTGTTAGATCAACAGAAGTATGATGAAGCTATTTCACAATTCGAAAAGGCCGTCGAGTTGGAGAAGCAAACTAAACCATTAGGCATGAGTGTTCTTCCACTCATCAACAAAGCTCTTGCTCTTTTCCAATGGAAGCAAGATTTCAGTGAGGCTGAGAAGCTTTGCGAAAAGGCTCTGATCAGTACGTTAATTGTCCCCGTAACCATTTGTTTTCTATACTAATGTAATTGTGAATAGTCGACCCTGAGTGTGATATCGCTGTTGCAACCATGGCCCAACTTCTTCTTCAACAAGGCAAGGTGACTGAAGCACTTCAGTACTTTGAGCGAGCAGCAGAATTATCCAGAACAGAAGGAGAAATTGTCAATGCTTTGAGTTATGCTGAAGCTACGAGGACACAATTGGAAGTCCAGGAGAAATATCCAGAATTGGCGAGTAGATTAGCGGGTATGAGCGGACTCGGAGGAGCTGGTATGCGTTAATTTTCGAGCATTGAGAGGTTCTGATGAGTTGAATGGAATGAAAAGGTGATGATTCTGATATCATGAATGAATTGACGGGCAAAGTGGTTGGAACATAATCAGCAAAGAAACATGGAGAATGTTCAGGTTGAATGGATGTGTTGACTCCATGATTTGATCTTGAGTAAAAAGAAAGGCAGAACGAAAACACAATTCAATGTAAAATTATTATTTCTCAACTCGTGGTGAAAGGCCTGGTCCACTCACCTCATGAAATTTGGAGGTCTGGGTGAGATGGGTGAGATGGGGGAGGGAGTTTGTAATATAATATGAGGGGATGAGTTATGAGATGTATGATTGTGAATGGGGATATTCGTGGTTGAAATTAGTGAGTGAATGCTTATGGGTAAGTAGGTACCTAGGTATGTATGATTATGTTCATATATTTTGTTTTTATGGTTGTGTGATCTTTTTTTTTTTTTTTTTACTTTTTTTTTTTTTTTTACAAGCGCTCAGGATTAGTTTAGTTGTCTTGTGAGTTGAAAGGATTTGTGTGTGTTGTTGTTTTTCTTTCTATTTATATATATATATGGATTGGATTGGATAGGTATCGAAGGGTTGGTGTTTGAGAAGGTGTGGGGTTTGAGAAGGTGTGGGTGGAGTGAGATGGGAGTTTGTGTGTAAGTGGAAGAGAGGTGGGAGAGTGGAGGAATGGGGAATGGGAATGGGTGGAGGTTCGGCAGTGATGTGTGGGTTAGGTTTTTAGTTTTTTAAGGGGGGGGGGATGTGAGATGTGTGGTATGTTATGTTATGCCATGTTATGTTATGCTATGTTATGCTGTGTATTGTATGTGAGGATGGGTGTGAGGATGAGGATGAGTATGAGGATGAGTATGAGTATGGTAGTCAATGTATCGACTGGGCTTTAGAACGCTTGGAGTATAGAATGTCTGTTGGGTTTGTGTATTAGGTGTTTATATGTATATGTGCTGGGTGGGGGAGGGTTTGTTTGGTTGGAATTTGAATTTGGAATTTGGAGGATATGTGATTTGTTGAGGTGATTCGGGATTGATGGAAATTTCTTGGGTGGACAGGTGTGTATTGTTTTGGAAATGGGATGGACATCTCGATATCTCATTTCTTATTTTCATTCTCATTTCCATATCTACCCATCTTGGTAGGTCTTACAATATAATACGTATACCTACTCTTCCAACCCATACAAAATCCCTCTTCTCATTTTCCAATACTATTCTAGAAACTCTTATGGAGGGGGGAATGCCTCGCGAAGCCTCGATTCAATTACCTACTCGCTTTTGTGCCAACTTCAAGAGTACTAAAAGGGATATGTATACAGAGAATACATACATACATACATACATACATACATACATACATACATACATACATACATACATACATACATACAGACATACATACATACATACATACATACATACATACCTATAGCCAGCTACAAGCTCGCTACATGATCGCCATCTGCTCGGAATGGTTAACCGAGGAGTTGCTGTTTTACCTCTCCGGTGCGATTTCGTCAGACGTGTACGAAAACGTGATCGCGTGGATTTGTGAACCGTTTGGGATTTGGGGGGGAGGGGGTGTACGTGTGGGGGGAAGGAAAGTGAGGAAACTAGTTTTAAGGTTGTGACAATATCGCATTCGTTTATTAGTTGGTTTTAGGTGGGTTTATGTATGTAGGTAGGTAGGTAGGTAGGTAGGTAGGTAGGTAGGTAGGTAGGTAGGTAGGTAGGTAGGTAGATATGTGAAGAGGCGGGGTGCAGAAGTTCTGGAAAGATGCATGGGGGTTGTGAGATGTTGTGGAATGGGTTCAGATGTAGATGGATAGAGAGATGTCATGATGTGAAGTTGAGGTTGTGTTTACACTTCGAATTCGCATGGGTGAGATATGTGTGGATTGAGGATGAGGGTTGATCCCTTCTTGCGTAAGGTTTAGATTGTAGTATGAACTTTATAGAGAGAAAGAGAGATGCCGGGTGGAAAAGTAGAAATATCGAGAAAATGTTTGTTTATACTAGGTACTTAGGTAGCGTGTGGCTTTCTCTCCTAGTTTGCATAGCTAATAAGTCTCGTATGCTCTAGAGCTTTGTTTCCCATTCGAAGATGCTCATGTGATTGACACGTGATATTAACTTTTTTTCTCGTGTATCCATACATTGCTTGCACAGCAGCAAGCACCACACATCGAGTTCCCAAAAGGCAAATGATCTTCTTCATGCTTATATCAATCGGGCGTGAAAGGTTTGAGAGTGACGGTATGAACAGTACGAACAGTACGAACAGTACGAACAGTACGAATGAAATGAATATTACGTAGCTGAGTAATTGATTAGTCGTAAGATCTTACATTGATTTCCAAGTAGGGCGCCCAGCTACCTAGTACTGTTGCCTAGTATGTATTGTATTGGATTCTGCACAGTTCGAACATCCCCCCAGATTCTTTTTTCTTCTTCGCTTGCTCGCCTCACTTCCCTCACCATGCAATCCAACGCAAAGCCTCACTCTCACTCTCACTTAGCACAGGATTCACACCTTTTTTTTTCATTTCTTATCTTTTAACTCAACCTTCACTTCACTTCACTTCATTCTTCAGGTATCATCATATCCAATACATGTCTATCTATGATCATAGGAAGAACAAGATCAATCACTTGATGAGAATGAAAAGCTTATCAATAATTATTTCTCTATTTGTTGGTCTTTTTATTTATTAAACAAGACTTCATTTTCATTCATTGGTTGTCGTGTCGCACTCTTTCTACTTCGGAATCTCTCTGTTTTAATGCCCGATTCTCTCACCGAAAACCACTCACTCACTCACTCTCACTCATCAACTCTCACTCATCAACTCTCCCTCATCACATCACATCTAGCACGCGCACCTCGTAAGCATTTCGATCGCTTGCTTCTCCATTAGTGTCGCATATACATACATACATATACATTCAAACTTTTGTATTTTGCCTCATTACTCTCTTTGGAAATTTTATTTCGCGAACCATTTTCCTTTCCTCGTCTACATACAGTACTCCGAGTTGTCATTTGAACCATGATTCATGATTAAGCGTACGGGTCATTTGCCCTGCGTATGCGAACGTCTTCTTTGATTTCTCTCTCATTGCTTGCGGCTCTTCTCACGTCAAATAACATTCTGTATACTTCCAAGACTGTGATATATTGGTTACATCCCCTACATCTCTTCTCATATCTATCGCCGGTCTGTTATATCGGGTTGAGTGGATGCGTGTCAGAGTATTGACTGACAGCTAATAGCAATGTCGATGCATCCAAGCTATCCCCGTAATGGGAGTTATCCACGCCATGTATGATCAACTCCTCCCCCTTTCAACTTCTTCCATGAGTTTTGTTCTGATGGAAAATCGTAGTATTATCCCTCACCTCCTTCCATGCACAATGCTTCAGATTCCGGATATGGTTCTACACGAGGAGAGATGGGTCCGCCATCATTAGATTTTCCACCTCAACCTATTGAGATTGATCTGAGTAATTCGAGGACCCTCCCAAGTCCTTCCCCTTCTTCTTCGGTTGCTTGGGAGCCAACATTGTTTCCTTCTCCTCATGGATTTCCTGATTTGAATTCCCCATATGGACCAATTTCTAGGATGCAACAACTGCCAATGGATCGTGCGACAGGCCAGGCTCCATTACTCCAATGGTATGCCGATAATGATGGACCTTGGTACCCCAAGACAATTTCAGACCCCATCTCTGAGGAGAGAACAAATATCAAGGTTCGTTCAAGTAATCGTGCACCCGTTGCTTTTGGAGGGCCGTATCGTCAACAGGATCCCTTGGAGAATGGATCCTTTCATTTCGGTGGCCCACCACAATCAGATTCTGGATATGAAACCAGAAGGAGCCATGGAAATACTTCAATCTTTAGCTCTGACATTAATGATCGCGATCAAGACTGTCAAAGTTTAGCAGGTCATGTTGCAGACTATCAGCCTTTTCAGGGCTTGAATGAAGCATTGCAATCTCGCGAGAATAGGACACCCGAAGCATGGCCAACACATCTTCCGGCTTCTATCAACTCGCCAGGTCTGTTCTGTTCGACCTGTCACAAATCCGTAAAAACAAAATCTGAGTTGAAGTCCGTTCCCATATTGATCTGCCATGATGAATCAATACTAATTTTTCATAGGAAGCATGATTTACGACATAAAAAGCCCTTTGTGTGTAACTATCCAGGTTGTGGAAGAACTGAGGGATTTAGCACAACCAACGATCTAGATCGACATACAAAGAGCAAACATCCCTTAGCTACAACCTCGAAGGCGGAGTCGATAAAAAAATACCGCTGTGTTGTACCCGGGTGTAAGTCCAAGGATAAAGCATGGCCACGACTCGACAACTTCCGTAGTCACTTGAAACGAGTTCATTCGAACGTCGTTCGGTTGGAAGAGAACTTTGAGGAGATGATACGACAGTAGGTCTGAGAAGACTTCAACAACATTTGTAGGACTAATATTTCTTAGGGCTGAATTTCTGGAACCCTCAGGTTTGCCTCAAGATGCCCATCTTTCTGCAGAAGTGTCTACCCACGATATCTCGCACAACAGGGAAGTTAACGAATGTTCACCAAAAGCCCAGGATATCAAATCCAATTGGAAGCCCGTCTATCCAGACTTGATCCAGGATTTAGTCACTCCAACGGAAATTCCAATGGAGAAACCTCTCGTCGCAGATGTGAATCCCAGTGGCACTGCTATCCCTGGACCGAACAATCCTCCCGTGGATCCACATACTAGAGATACCATCCAACCATCGGAATTATTCCGGAATCCATCAGAGGTTGTTAACAAAATCTTTTTGGAAAGTGATATCTCAACCCTAGTGGGTACAAAGAGTGCATTGGATCGTAATCTTGATCATGTAAGCCGTGCCCCGGTGGAGAGAAATCCATTACCACCTGCAGGTAAGGCAACTCGACATAGTAGCGTCTCAGCCACCGATGCGACTATTACCGAAGCAATTAGAACCGCATTAGCAGAGGCAAAAAATCCATCAAACGTTGGTGCATTGCCGATGGGACGGAAAGTTTTGCCTAATGGAAAATCTCCCCCCGCTGATTCCTGGGGATCCACAACAGATAAAGCTGCATGCTTACTAGATGGATTTAATAAGTCCACTTCTTCTACAACAGATGATTCCCTGGACCAGGAAAAAGCCGTTGAGGTTTATAAAACCCTTCAAAAGTTAGGTTACATTATTCAAAAGGATCCAAATCATACACCTCGGATACAAAACCCAGGATCTGCTGCCAGCAACAAGAGTGAGAACCAAGTCACTTGTGAGGTTTGTAAAAAGTTCAAAGGAAGACCTTGCGAGCTGAAGTAAGCTCAAAATCTATCTCTTACATCACTGTTACTAATGATAAGTAGGAAACATATGAAACGGCACGAGAGGCCTTACGGCTGTACTTTCTTGGCTTGCAACAAAACCTTTGGAAGTAAAAATGATTGGAAACGACACGAGAACTCGCAACATTTCCACCTGGAGACCTGGCGTTGCGACAATGAGAAACCCGAAGGTGGAGCATGTGCGAAGGTCTCTTATCGTCGTCAAACCTTCCAAGAACATATAAAGAAAGAACATGCTATCATTGACCAAGATGCTGTTAAGATTAAGGTCGATGCTTGTCGTATTGGCCGTAATTGTCAGGCTCGTTTCTGGTGTGGTTTTTGTAAGACGCTTGTTAATCTTAAGAAAAAGGGTCTTGACGCCTGGATAGAAAGGTTTGACCACATAGATAACCATTTCATGGGGCGCCACGGACTTCAAAAACAAAGCATTCAAGATTGGATTCCAGTTGATAGTGACAAACCCAAAGGCGACGCCGTCAGTCCAAATCCTTTAGGTGGATCTTCACCTAAAGATGACCATCAGGAACATTCGACCGATTCTACAGATGACTTTGGTAGGAGCTCACTAGAATTTGTCGGCAATAAAGGAACCTCATCTGCTTTGGTTGGTCAAGAGCACAGAGTATCAAAGAAACGAGAACGCAACGACGATGAGAGTGACAGGCCATCAAAGTATACAAAGATTGGGGAGATTGTTTATTGTGTACGCGCTCTTATTTTACTGTGCCATATGCAATTGCTAACGTATTCATAGTGTCATTGTGCAGATGATCTAGGACGTACTCTTGCTCTTAGTCCCAAGTGTACTTCCTGCAGTCATGATTTTTGTAACGAGTGCAAGAGCGATTCGATTGGTAATTGTGAAGGTCAAAAAGTCTGACATGCTCATGGATATTGTTTGAAGTTTCTTATTGTGGTTTGTTGACCACTTTCATTTGAGAAGGGATAATTGTGTAAAACTATTGGGTCTACGATGTAATTGGGTAGGAATTCGAAATACTGGGAAGGAAGATATCCAGGGATTTTTTTCTTTGGCGTTTGCAAATTTAACCTTATGGTAGAAAGAAAATCTTTTCCATGAAATCTAAAGGTTAGCGAGGGGCACAGTACTCGTAAATTGATTTTTTGGACATAGTACATCTATGATGGTGGGAGGTATTGAGTGACCGTGTTGAATAACCATTCCAATGGTTGGAATACGATGTTTTCAGCCGCAGTGATAACCGCTTTCCAATCCGGCCCATGAAGGAGTTATCTCGCTTAACACACCGAATAGATTCTAGATGGTGTAGGGCAAATAGTGCTCATAGGATAATTTAGAATGCTACAGTTGTAACAACTACCCAGGATCAAGGGCAAAGCCACATCATATGCAACTTTCCCTCCACGTGGCGCACCCTTTCTACGACGTGAATACATGTGAAGCTAGACCCCTTTGGTTCACCGAGTTTTAGGGTGGAAGAGTGGTTTGGACATGTATGTAGGTGAAGGGCGAAGCAATCGGAGCCAAAAAGTGAGGCTGCATATATGTATGTGTATCCATTGTCTGTATGTGGAAGGAGGGGTATTCTTGATTCCTTAAGGGATATCTTCATGGGCGTTGAAGCTTGCTCACAGGGCATTGTTGGGTTTGGTGTTGCATGCATGCGGAGATCTTGAAGATAAATTCATATGTGAGCAGACACTACTCGGTGGCATGGGAAGAAGATGTGGAATCTTTGTAAACACGACTTCTTCATCGCACTCGATCTTCAATGCGGATAGCCGAGTATGTGTAGCATTTGAATGTAGATTTGGGTGGAATTGATGCGATAACTGTGGAATGGGGTGAAATGGGCAAGAACAAAACCAACCCCGATTGATCTAACCGACGACCCAGCGAATTCACGAACGAAAATGCATGTTAAACGCTTGATTACACCAATTAGATCGAGATGCATTAATTGCGACCGCGATACAGACTCGGTAAGAGACGTATTTGAAATGGTCTCTGTTATCATTTGGGGGCTGTTTTCAATATCGGCGATTGGGAGGTTGGAGCATTGGATGGTGTGGGTGGGGGCTAGAGTGCTGACACCTATAGAAGGAGAATGAATGGAATGAAATGAGAGAAAATTAGAAAATTAGAAAAGGGGAAATGGGAAATGGAGAGGGAAAGGGAAGGGATTGGATCTTCTTGGCTGTACAATGCATGCTTTGAAGCAGAAAACGAATGCGAATATTGTGCTACCGCAAATTCTGGAGTAAAAGCTGTCTGTACTGTCGTTCTTTCTAAGCGAAGGCAGCGGAAGAAAACAAAGTTTCCCCAATAAACCCGATCGTATCGAATGAGAATTTTATTTTGTGACGAGAGAACTTTCTCAATTGACGGAACGGCTTGTGGATTCTATTCAAATGACGGCTAAAACAATAATCATCATTCTCGAATTTTGAAGAATTGACGTCGAGGTCTGCCTAGCGGTCGCCTTGTCCGCCTTACACCATGTACAGGGATAATTTTGTGTGCCATTGGTCCTGATGTGGAATTCATGTTGGGAGGGTAGCAAAAGGAAACGAAAGAGCGATGAAATGAAAGGAAATGTATGGAGAGCTCCATCTGCACGATTGACTAGCTCGGTCGGGTCTCCACTCGCATCATGATTCAGAATTTCGACATGGGGAAATGTTTGAGGTGATATGCGGTGCCCTGCTTCAAGCCATCAAGGAACATGAGGAATGATGAGGGGCGCAGCACAGGGAGAGTCACCGATCTCCAATACTTTGGATGGGCTCAGGGGGTATGCACGCCAAAGTCGGCGTACAGAGACGTTTGAATTATGTGAGGAGATCCTTCACCGGCCTCCTGTGCGGCCTACCCTTCTTCTCACCATGCGGCTCTGTGCTAAATTGCACATGAATTTGTCGGTCCCAGATGGTACACATATGAACTTTTGTGGAGGATATGTTGAGGCTTGGTCCACGTACATTAGAGATTTGTCGTGCCGTTTCTGGTTTCTTTGTTTTCTTGTATCATCTAAATACATCATATCTATCACACACGACAACTGCGCCTATCGGTCTCGCTACTTCGCCTCAGACTTTCCTCAAGTCTCAATATCTCCATATCCGACTATCGACCAGTGGACTTTTATGACCTGACATTTTCAAATTCCTGATTGTGTTTGTGCATAAATAAAACAAGAGGTCGTGTGAAAAAGATTTATTATTGTTTGTTTGTTATTTGCAAAAGGATTTGTTGGAAGTCGCAGCAAGGTGGAGATACTCGAATTACGTTTGTGAGTTCTGTTTGTTCTGTTTGTTGTCTCTCCTGTCCTGTCGTCTTAATTCATGAGTTTATTTGGGCTACACGAGAAACTCATTCCCGCAGTAGGATCAATAAGAAAGCAAACAATTATCAGCTCTATTCCTTCCAAGCTTATTGCTTTGTATCTCTTTCTCTTCTAGAAGCTTAGCTCCACCCTATCTCTCCAGTTTAGGATTGTGGGGGCCAAAAGCAAAAAGTAACCCGAAGACGCATCTATATTGGCTATTCGATTACTTAAACTTATATTATTTGGACATCATGTCTTACGAAACTTTACCTTACTCGACTATGGAACCACCTTTCTTCCAGGAAAATAAATCAAACCCTCAATCTTTCCGTCATGAGGATTTGATGGACATTGAAAGTTCTTGGATCCAGAACATCGATCCACTTCTTCGTCAATCTCAAATGGGCTCTCCGGATTTCGATTACCGTCAAGATTTACCACAGCAACCTTTACAAAGATTCATCACAGAGCCAGGACGAGCTCTCTTTACTACTGTTCCAGCCATGTCTCACTTTGATAGCTTCTCCAGACCACCTCACAGAGCATTCGAACCCGTTAGTGTCTATCCTCAAGCTTCTCGAACAAGAATGATATCTCCTTCTCCTTCCCAAGAGCTCTCTTCCAACTGCAGTAGTGCTCGAAGTCCAGCTACCGAAACAGATTGGTATCACGATGGATACTATTCCTCTCAAGGCCAAGATGATTACACCCTACCCAATACCTCTCATACTACTTCGCAAAACTTCTCTGATTTATGGACATCACCACAAATTCTATCCGGACAGCCCACTGGATATCCATGTGTTAACCTTAGTGATGTTCAGGCATTTGCCGATCCGCAAGAAATCAAATTCGAGACCGATGAAACATATGTCGATTATGCGATCCAAGCATCAGAATCTGGGAGTCACAAATTAGCTTCTCATATATCACATTATAGAGATGAGGGATTGGGAGCTTCGGTTCGAGATGCTGCATCTCCTCGAGCAATTTCTATTCAAGCTTCGAATCATGACAATACATCTACAATTTCTAATGCTGATATTGATATTGATGCAGAAGGCGATGATGTTGATATAAACAATAATGGGGAAATAGATATGGAAACAGAGATCGATTCCGAACTACTACCCCAAGATGGAGACATCGAAGAAGAAGACGAACCATCAGACACAGAATACACTCCCCGTCCTGCCACGCGCAATCCACGCAAACGCATCAGCACAACTAAACCATACTCTCCCCCCACCTTAAAACGCAACCGCATATCCAAATCCTCCACATCTGCATCTAAATCCTCTTCCAAACTCTCTTCCGGAGGTTTCTCCTGCAAACAATGCGCCTCCGCCGGCTTCAAAGATACTCCCACTCTCCAACGCCACATCGCATCCGCGCACACGCGGGCTTTCATCTGCGTCTTCAATTTTGCCGGATGCGATAGTACCTTTGCTTCGAAAAATGAATGGAAGCGACATGTTTCTTCTCAGCACCTCAATTTGCAAGCTTGGGTATGTACTCTCGGATCCTGTGGTAAGGTTCCGCTGAATTCGCACTCACACTCGGGGTCTGCGATGCGGAAAGGGGTGGAGGGGAGTGCGCAAGCGCGTGGTTATGGGGAAGTCAAGGGCGCGGAGTTTAATCGGAAGGATTTGTTTACGCAGCATCTGAGACGCATGCATGCGCCGTTTGAGGTGAAGAGGAAGGGGAAGCGCAATGGGGAGTGGGAGGAGCGGGTGAGGGTTTTGCAGAGGAGTTGTGAGAGGAGTCGACGAGAGGCGCCGGAGAGGTTGGGGTGTCCGGTGAGGGGGTGCGCGCAGCGGAAAGAAGGGCTGGGGGTGTGGTTTGAGGGGAGAGGATGCTGGGATGAGAGGATGGAACATTTGGGGAAACATTTGGAGAGTGCGGCTGGGGAGGGGGGAGTGATGAGACAGGAGGATGATGGGCTTTTTGTCGAGTGGGCGGCTGAGCAGAAGATTATTGAGAGGGGGGGGAGAGGGGAATGGATTCTTTGTGCGGGGAAGGGGGGGCATGGGTGGGCGAGGAAAAGAATTGCGGCAGGTTTGGATAGGAGTGAGGGGAGAGTGGTGGGGAGATACGGGGGAATTAAGGTGGAGGGTGGGATGGAGGAGGATTTGGATGCCGAGGGAGAAGATGAGTAATGAATGAGTGATGATGGTATTTGAGGGAATGGAATGTCTCTCTCCCTTTCTTCCTCCCTTCCTTTCTCTTTTTTTTTTCTTGAAGTGTAGGATTGTGAAGGATATGAATTTGAATTTGAATTTCCAGCCACGCAGGCTCACGAAATACAAAGTACGAAATACAAAGTACGAGGTAACGAAGTACTCAAAACGAAGTTATGAATCATAGTTACGGATTATGGATAACCTCAATGCGGCGTTACATTCCCACCACCATATTTCTTTTCGTTATATTTTCCTATTTCTCGGGCTGGGGTTAAGAGAATTAATTAATTAGATGGTGTTTTTTATATATGATGTTCTGTCCTGTTTTGTTCTGTTCTAACATAGTGATAAATAACAATGATGTATTTTCTTTCTTCTTATGGGAGCGGGAATGGGATTAGTTACCTGTGTTGGGTAGACCAGGTTAGGTTCGATCAATAATGAATTGCTTAATGCATACCGATAGCTTGATAGGTATCTGTTTTTTGCAATCTGGATACTGGAAAGTTTGAGTGAATTGTAGAAGCATGACGTGTTGAATTTGCTACTCTGTGCACAGCGACAAGGGAGTTGAATTGGTATATTGATATTTAGGATGTACTGTCTTGCAATGTGGGTATCCATATGAATGAAGCATTGGAGGGTCCAGATTAAATCTGTGGCAAAAGGCAATACTCTTGCTACCTCTCAAAGACACATCATTATTTCAGAGTAAGCCTCTCCAGACTGACTCAACCCCTATTAACAATCTCCTGTCTACCGACAATCTTCGCCAACCTTTCTTCACTCTGTGCCTCTCCTTCTTTAAACCCCATCGCACTCGCTAAGCTTCTCGCTTCTTCATATCTTCTCCTTGCTTCCTTGATATCCCCATCCATTTCTGCGAATTCTCCTAGATTATGTGTTGCAACAGCACACCCGAGATCACATTCTTCAGTTCTTTCTGGGGGTGCTATCTTGGCACAAATTTCTAGGGACTTGGTAGCCCATGCGCGGGCATTTTTGATTTGTTGCGAGCGGGATATTATGGGCTGGCCTAATTCAGATGGTGGATTTTGTTGGGCCAGTGAGATAGAAAGATTGTTCACTATAGAAGGTGGTTAGTGGGTGGCTTTGGGAAAGTGGAGACAGAACAAACTTAGAACGGCTGTGTGGCAGGTAGCTGGAGTAGAAAGTGCGATAGCTTGGAGAAATAGGGGTGCGGCAAGGTGGTGTTTATCGGTTGCTTCATAGTGATGTGCAAGAGCTAGAAAGAAATTAGCTTGATCCGAATTGACGTCTTGAATGGAAATATAAACCTTCAAAAGTTCCGCCCATCTCTTCGTCCGATAACCAAACCTCTTCTCCAGGTCTGATTCCCTCTTTCTGTCTCCTCATTTGTTCTTTTAATATAGTCTCCACCGCATATACCAAGCTTTCTTCAGCCTTATCTGGTTGTAAGACATATTCCCCGTTGTATAAATCAGCAATTTTGACACTAATCTCTACCATCCTCCTCAGAACTCTCGTCCGCTTGCCAATATTCCTCTCCAAATCTCCCAATTGCTCCATCCATTTCCCACAGTCATCTCTCATAATTTCGTAAACACCAATCGCCTTATCATAGGCTTGAATTTTCTCCAACAAAACACAAACGGATATTTTGATTCCGAGATACTCGTCAGAAAATGGATCCATACCCATCTCATCTGCAACTCGTAAAGCCTCTTTGTAATATTTAATAGCATTCTTAGGTTCAAGAGACATGTTGGTGTAGTAAAGGGCCTTTCGCAGTTGCTTTGCTACAGGTTCGGGAAAGGCTTTGAAACCGTCGATTATGTATTTATTATACCACCAATTGATATATCCTAGACAGAAGACTCCGAATCCTATACTGTATTTGCAAATGCTGTATTAGCACTGCACATCAAAGCCGTAAAAGCGGACGGATATGAGGTGTAAATTACGCTATGGTAGCTCCGGTCATGCTATATGGATGTGCTTTAAAGAGTATTTTGGCATTCCTCGTGAATGAGCCTTTGGAGCGGTTAACCTTAGGTTGTGCTCCTCGTGTAGATTGCCACCTCTGCTGCTGTGCTCGACATGGTACGGAGTTTCTGGTAGCAGGTCTACTGGACCTTGTAGCTTGCACTCGTTGTTGACGAAGACATTGTGATGCGCGATTCGAAGCGCCGGCAGACCCGAGTGAGGTTGCGAACCTTGGTGTAAACATTTCGGGAGCTGATTCTATAACAATCGCACAATTGAATATGGAAATCTAGGCACAATTGTCGTTCGCGCAGTTTATGAAGCTTTGGTCGTCCGGGAGCTTCATAAAATTAACGATTTCCTTCCTGCAAGACATTTCACCCTAACCAAAACCCCTGTCTCCCGCAATGCGCTAACCAATGAATGACGCTACCCCACATCATGGACGAACGTCAGCTTTCTGTTCCATCGCAATATTTCTTTTCAATCAAGCTTCACTTCTTATAACACGCTGTATTCAAAATGGCTGGTAAATTCGAACCTAAGACTCCTGTTACTCTGAACCCACCAAAGTACGATCCTATTTCGGTGGAAGAACTTGCAAAATGCAATGGTAATCACGACCTCTTTGAAATCTCTAGAGATGAGGGGCTAACATGTTGAAAGGTTCTGCTAGCGATAAATGCTATGTTGCAATCAAGGTACATTCTTAACTTTGCATGTTTCACACTGCAATGCGCAAAGCTCATAAGACCTAGGGCAAAGTCTACGATGTAACAGGAAACAAAGCATATCTTCCTGGCGGTGCTTACAATGGTATTTCTTTCCAATCCCTTTTATTCAATTTCGCGTGTTCTCCCACTAATCTCTCTTCTACACTTTCAGTCTTTGCTGGCCACGATGCTTCCCGCGCTTTAGCCAAAACTTCTACTAAAGCTGAAGACGTATCCTCGGAATGGTTCGATCTCGATGATAAAGAGAAGGGTGTACTCGATGACTGGAACACATTTTTCTCGAAGCGATACAATATCGTCGGTCTCGTAGAGGGAGCGCAGAACTTGGATCCAAATGAAAAAATAGAGGGTGCCTCGAGTTGAAAGTTAGCGGACGCATTATCGAAGTTATGAGAGTTGGACAGGTTGCGGTGTGAGATTCAGACATGAAATTGAATTTAGCGAGTTATGATTTGAGCTTAGCAGGCGAATCAAGTTTTCATTCGGTCTTGCAGGAAATACCTTTAGAGGGCACCTCGGTATACTTTATCAGGAGGTAGCCGGTCGAGAGTCAATGTCTGGTATACCATATAATTTCTAATTTCCGGTGCTCTGAGAGCCATCGTCACTTCAACTCGATTGCTTCGCTACCCAAGCATCAGGCTGTATACCCCTTCAAAGCCTATGCTCTCCATAAGTATCCCTCCCTCTACCCCAAAATAGTCTCTCCAAAAAACATAAAACGAAATCACAACCACCATTCTTTTAAAAGACCAACAAGGTTAAAGCACTCAAAACCCTTGCCATTCTCTCATATTGGGCAGGAGAAGAGCCCTATCAAAGGAAAACACCATGCAACACTCCTGGTCGCTACACTACGAGGAGTCGTTATTCATTACTTTCCGACTTTGCTTGTTCGCCAACGAAGAATCCATTCTAGTAGTGAGGATACAGAGAAACACGCCCCCTACCTACTCAATCTCAGGAGAGCAATGAATCAATTTTCTGTCATTTGTCTGCCTTCTTTGTCTTTCCCACTGTTTCAAATTTGTGTTTATTTTATTTTGGTTATATGGAGATCGATATCAGAAAACATGACTTGTATTTGTAAAGTGCGTGCGATGCTTCGAGTTGCATGAACTTTTTCTCGGTCGATGTGATCTGATTAAAGGAAACTAGACTAGTGCGAGAATGACGAGAGGTAGAGGAGTGCTAATGCCGTAAAAGGATAGTGCTGATAACGGAGCGCAGAATGTATGGGTGGTTATGGGTGTTGGTGCACTCAAGAATGTATATCATTTCTCAGGATTAAACCGAGCAAAGCCTGTTGAGGGGAAGAGACGAGTTCGATGTTAGCAAAGCAAGATCCACCCCACCTCGTGTCCTAAATTAACCGAGCCAGAGATGTAATGATATCATAAATTTGACATAGTTTTTATATTTCCTAGATAATGTCTCCAAACTCATAGCCAGAGAAGACTATCCAACTAATCCCACTACAACCTTTGCCCATCCAGATTCCCAACAACCCCATAACTCCTCGGATCAAAAAGCAATGCACAAACATAGGTATCCCGAGTCAGCCACGCCTCAAACGCCTTCCCAATGCATCTCAATACTAGAGAAGATTATGTTGGCACGGTCGAGGATAGATGAAATCAAGGAAGCGAGCGAATACGAATGCAAATCTTCTTCCCGCATAGCTAAATATATGTAACTCAGTCCCTAAACAATTCGCTGGAAACGTGCCGCCGAAATAAATATTCAAAGACGATTGACTGAGAATAGACGTTCCATTCATGCCATGCAGGTTTTCATATTTTCACTGCACACAAGGCAATCATTTCTTCAAAACGGCATCGTACATGGTAAACAGAATCCCAATGCCAGTCCCAACAAGCGTGCTCTGATAGCCCCCATAAAGTGCGGAATTAATTCTTGCCACGTGCTCAAGGTCCACGAGCCCACCAAGAGTTGCGCCTTGGCCGTAAACTACGAATGTTATAAGTCCCTTTACAATGTTGAATGTCAGTGGGTCAAACGAATAATGTTTGCTTCGCGTGCTTGGTTTGCTTGTCAGATTGTAGAAGTATGCTGCAAACAACGGAAGTAAGAGACTTGTGGATAGCCATAGAGCAAAGGGGCCCCAGAATGACGTGGTCAACAAAAGGAACAGATCCGGAATTTTGACCGCGTATTCGGAGGTATTCAGGTAATGGAGCGGGGGAATTGTGAATGCGTATTTGTTTTGCAAAAGCTCTGGTTGAAGTTGTAGTGCCTCTGATAGTAGCATGATGAATTCAAGGGCCACGACGGTTGATACAGTTTCACGAGCAGTCTCCACAGCTTCGACTATACCCAAATCCTTGTAGTATTCATTTGCTTTCGCGCGTAAAACTGCCGTGCGTCGATCGATAACATCTGCGACAACGGCAGGAGATGGTGGGATAGGGACGTTTGATGCAAATGTGATCGCGTTCGCGCGAGGAGTTTGTGTAAGAGCAGTACTAGAGCGCGCAATTGCTCTTTCAGATTCCGAATCATCACTACAAAAGTGTTAGTTGCTCTTTCAACAAAGTAACGCGCTTGGCGCGTCGCAACACGTACGTAGTTTGGTTTCCGACCTCCGAAATTTCTGATGCAAGTCTAGTTCTGCGTCTTAATGATCTTTTTGTGTCCATTTCCTCGTGGGCAGAGGATGGTTCCTTTTTCACAGGTGAAGCACCGGATCTTCTATTATAGTATGGTATGAGGCGCGTCTCGTTAGCTAGCTGCGATTCATTTTCAACCAGGTAGTCTTCGAGCGCAAGCTCAAGTTCTGTCTTCTTGATACCATCGATACTGAGAGAATGGTCAGTGACTTCTGTTGCAAAGCTGGTGAGATATGTGGGTGTCGTATACTATTTAAGTCCAATTGAATCCGCAAGCTCCATCAAATCCCCCTTTCGTTGCGCCTTGATCCAATTTGCTACCCCGGACATGATTGTATATGATGGCTGCTTCGCGAAAGAATGCGATCGTGGTAATTATATTCGATAAGTGTTTGTAGAATGGTGCGGGGATATCTGATGTCTGCTTTTCGGGTTATCGTGCGAAGTTTGGGCAGATATTGTGGGGTGCCGAATGAGGAAGGAATCGCGTAGTGTGTCAACAAACAAGCGCTAGAGCTTTCACGTGATTAACTTAAATCTCTAGCTCAGAGTCGCAGAGTACTGTTGAAGATATCCTGGGTTGGATCAGTCTTGGTATGTTACATAGTAACTCTTTTCCAAATCTGCTGATGACCTCTGGGTGTTGAGCAACCCTTCTTTATGAAGTTCTGATCCTGTCGTTGTCATGGGAGATTCAAGGAACTCCTTGTAAGAATACTCGAGTCCTGGGAAGGAATATGCGCAACACTCGCTGCGAACGGATAGACGCGAACATCGTTTTCGATCAATTTTATGTCTGCAATGAATTATTTCCATCCCGTGACTTAATACATGAAAAGGACAGATGAAAGCGACCTTTTGACACAATCTCTGTACATGTTTGAGAGTGAAAGTTCTGAAATAATTTTTATTGTTATCCTTTCCCATTGCATCAGGCAATGACCATCGAGCAGTCTGGTATCATGAGGCTAAAGCACTAATCTATAATATTTACAAAGCGTTCCTCTCCCTTTTTTACCAGTCGTACCGGAATAAAACCAGGGTGAAGTTTCAGAGTGATGAGTGACGTAGCCCCTCTAATCGTCTCTCTTGCCTTCCTTTGCGCCTTACTATACAATTCCCTCTTCTCGTCTGCGGACATCCCAAAAACTTCTTCATCTGTAGCCCACTCATCGACTGCAAGCTCCATTGAGTACTTTTGCAAAACTACAGCCAGTACGCCCATGACCTCAACCTGGGCTAATCTTCGACCTAAGCAAGATCGAGCGCCATCGGAGAAAGGAATGTAAGAACCCCTGACTGGGCGAAATAATCCTTCGGAAGTGGTTTTCCCTGTGAATCCACCAAAATCATCATCCTCAGAGGAATCATTGGCGCTGTCATCTTTTCCTAATTGCTTAATGAGCCATCTCTCTGGTTTGAAGTCATCGAGATCGTTATTCTGCGTGGTGATTTTCGAGGGCTCAGTTGGCCAGTACCTAGGATTTCTATGGAGTCCTATCGTATTAAGGTTTATATGGGCTCCAGCGGGGAGAGTTATTTTCTTTCCATCAATAAAAATTGTTTGATCATGGCCTTGACCAACTGATTTAGGAATATTAACCACAGGAGGCATGAGGCGAAGTTGTTCATTGAGCGTGGCTCCGATCATACCACCCATGAGGACGTTTATATTTTTCTCATAATCCCAGGTCTCAGGAGATTCATCACCAAAGATTCTTTGCACTTCTTCTTGGACTTGTCGCTGCGATCTAGGGCTAATGGCCAGTTCTACGAGGCAGAAGTGGACCGAGTTCGCGGTCGTCTCATGGCCCGCGACCATCATGACGAAGGCATTTCCCAAAATTTCCGAGTCCGAAAGGGCGACTTTGTTAGCTTGGCCCTTCTCGACTCGGTCCGGCGATGATTTAGTAGAACCCTGCGCACTTGAAGGACCGTATGAACTCTTTACCAGGAAGCCCATAATATCCATACCCTCACCTTCCTTACTCTCCATAGCATCCCGAGCCTTTTGGGCAAACAACTCGTTCATGTACTGACCGAAGTTTTCAAAAGAATCTAGTGCTTTGTGGGCGGAATTAAAAGGCATTAACCCTGGGGACAAAATTAGTTCTCGTAAAAAACCAAGTTGTTCTTAGTACTTACTCAGAAGCCATTTAGGAAGAAATAGCACCCAGACTAAAGTCTCTAAAAGAGTACTCAAAGATCTCTCGAAGCTCATCGTGTGGCCTTCAGGCGCTTCATTACTGCTGTAAACGGATTCTTGTTCCTTGCTCCTCGCTTTCTCTCCTGGCCATAATAGACGAACCCCAAATCCAATCCTGCTTATAATGTGCAATGTAACTCTCATTGTATCAGTAGGAACTTCTTTCAAAGTCACATTCCCTCTCCCGTCAGGACCCAACCATCTTCTCAACATTCCCTGTGCTTGTGTACAAGATTCTGCAAACACTAGCGCGTTGTTCTTCTCAGTAAAACTTGGTGAAGATATCTTTCTATGCCCCCTCCATTCAATTCCTTCGGTTGTTACAACATTCCGACCAAATATCTCGAGAATACGGTACGATTGAAGAGGTTTGGGAAAGGCCTCTCGACGACTTGTTATCTGATGAGTCGCTTCTGCATTTGAGATAAATCCAAGGATTGATCCAGGGGAAACAGTTAAAAATGCATCGCCGTTTTTAGCAAATGGATGGTAAAGTTTCTCCCAGCACCAATCTGGTGTCATATAAC